AGATATGGTTTATTTTATGCTTTGAGATTTGGGAGGCATTGGATTAGGGTATTGTTTCTAGTTAGCCCTTGCTGCCTATTCAAATTTGATCTTCAGTAAACCAGGTTACACATCTAGTATGAGATCAGAGCCAAGGTTTGGTGATCCTATCTCCTCGCAAGTAAAAGTTCTTCTTTCTCATCTTTTTTTTTTAATTTTAAAATTTTCATTCAGACTTGGCATTTATGTTGTCTATCGATTATAGGAGAAGTTGAAGCAATCATGTATTATGTTATATCCATGTAGGGGCTTGAAAGGGGAAAGTTCTATAAGAAAAGTTAGCTCCATAATTGTATTAGTTTTTGTGGGGTCAAAATTGTCTACCTAAATTAATTGTGTACAAGTGCATCCAATCAAGATAGATAACTTTGTCTTGTATATCAGTCCCGTCAAATTCACCCTATGGGAGAGGATTTTATTTTTATGTGGATTCATGGTTTCCAAAAGACCCTTATATTAATGAAAGGAACCTTTGATCAAGAGTCAATAAAAATCATCAATACAAGAGAAAACTCACAAAGCAAGAAAATTATATATATATTTTTTCTTTGATCATATACATGACTTAACCAGGGGCATACCCTTAGTGTACAAATTTTCATACAAAGTCTTGACTAGCGAAAATACGGTGGTTGAAACTTGGGCTTAGGCCTGACTTGGAGATGTGAAATGGAATTTGGGTTTTGAGCCCAGTTTAGCGACATGAATGTCAAACTTGAAATTTATTTTAGTTTTACGACAGAAAGGTCGAATTTGAAATTTTAAATCCAGTTTAGCGTCTTAGAGGTCAATTTTGAAATTTATTTCATTTTTACGACATAAAGGTCGAATTTGGAAATTGAAATCCTGTTTAGCGACTTAGAGATCGACATAATTGAACCATTTGATCTTAAACCTCTTGGCGCATGTTTTTCCACCAAGCTATTTCAAGTGCATTTCTTTTTACACAAAATATTCTTTCACCCAGTTTAGAGACGTAGTCTTCTGTGTTGAGTTTGCTTTCCATGCTGAATTCTTATCTAGTTTAGGGACATAGAGGTCCCGCCGAGCTTGATGATTTGAATTTGTCTTTATATATTTTTTGACATTTTTCAAAGATTAATTAGTAGTTGATGGAATTCCACAAATGAACGTGCAAACTCTACAATTTATAGATCTTTCTGGGGGATCAAACTATAAATTAGGCTGACTTGTAATTGGATCAAACTGTAATTTATGCATTTTTCAGGGCGTGAACTAGAAATTTTGGACTATTTTGCAAAACTAGACTTAAATACAATTTTTGCATATTTCCAGGGTGTAAACTATAAATTCTAGGCTGTTTTACAATTTCTACTGCTTTTTCAGGGAGTAAAATGTAATTCTGGGTTAAACTGTAGTTTTTTAGGGTATAAAACTACAATTTTAGGCTATTTTATAATTTCTACAGCTTTTCCAGGGAGTAATGTCACTCTCCGGGCCCACGGGCTCACGGGTCCGATGGCGCGTGGAAGCCGTGGGTCCCAGTGAGAGCAACTTGATGTTGGCTAAAGTCCACTGTTAAAATGCTAGCACTAGTTATTCCTTGGTCTTGGGCTTTTCTATTTAAGCCACTAAGATTTCTTTACACTAGTCCATACAGGATTAAAGTGGGGGTGTTACAATCATCCCATTTTACAAAGATGACGTCCTCGTCGTCATGACATGACTATTGGCACATTTTAGTGTCACTGTCAGTCGATGTGGTTTCTAGAGGTGCTGTCAGTCGATGTGGTCTCTAGAGGTGCTGTCAGTCGATGTGGTCTCTAGAGGTGGCTCTTACGGGCTTTAGAGGTGGCTCCCATCACATCCACACGATGTAGTACGTAGCCTCATATAGTACTTAACTCCACATTTTCGGCTGGTAACTGCTCTGATACTATTTGTCACGCTTCGGGCCTATGGGCTCGTTGGCGCGTGCAAGCCGTAGGTCCCACCGAGATCAATTCGATGTTGGCTAAAGTCCACTGTCAAAATGCTAACACTAGTTGATCTTGGGCCTTGGACTTTTTTATTTAAGCCACTAATATTTCTTCACACTAGTCCATGTGGGACTAAAGTGGGGTAAACTGTAAATTTGGACTGTTTTGTAATTTCTGGAATGTCTAGGGACTGAACTGTAACTTTTGTAGTTTTATGGGGTGCAAACAACAAATTTGTAGTATTATGAAGTGTTTTGGTCTCTTTTAAGGACCGGAATGCAAATTTGCACTCATGATATTCAAAATTTGTAAAAGGGACCCTTAGCATACACTTCCTTAAAGCATTGAAGGCCTTGTTTGTTTTGTTTTTTCTAGTGGCATTAGGATTGAATTATCAATCTTCCATCCTTAATAGGACTCTTGTACAATACTATAAATTCATCTTATTAAAATTCTTGTACAATGCTATAAGTTCACCGAGAAGGCTTGCCCACAAAATTCAACATTTTTACTGTATTCTTTTATTTTGCTCTTTTTGAAGAAGTGAGCCGATGGCGAGCATAAGAGGTGACTTCAATGGTGCGCACAAGCCACACCCGTTCTTTTATTCATCGATTTGGACGATTAGCCTGAAAGGTTTATTTTGCATGATCTGAATGATTCATCCTTATATTGCTATCTTTGTTTCAAGACTACTCCCCCCTTTTTTTTAGATTTATCCATCGCATCGAGCTTTTTTGATTGAGTCGTTTGTTTCATTCAAGACTTATATTTAACTCTCGAATTAATCGCTTAAATCAATTGCATCTTTGTGTCTGATTCTTATTTGCATCCTAATTACTAGTGTTCCTCATCTAGAGGGATCCATCACCGTATGACAGTGATGACAGTGCTTCTAGAATTAATAGATGCAAATTAATATCATTTGAGAATATCAAGCAAAATCAGCTCTTGAATCCATCGGCATATGGTAAGTGACCATGTTTTCTTGAATTAAAAAAATACTACTTAAAATTGATTGAGAATATTGAGCAAAATCAAAATTTGAAGATTGAAATAGCTAGCTATTTCACCTAATCAATTAAGCAGATAAATAAAGCATATGCATTAGCAACGTACAAATATTTTTTGATAAATAAAAGAATACGATGATTTCAAGCGAGGACGGTGCCTTGGCGTTCGAGCACGGTGGCTCAGGGTTGAGGATGGTGCATCGGGTGAGGACGGTGCCTCGGGTTGAGGACGGTGGCTCGGGGGTGCCTCGTGTTGAACACGGTGGCTCGGGGTTGAGAACGGTGCCTCAGAGGTTGAGCACAGTGGCTGGGGGTTGAGCACGGTGGCTCGGGTGAGTATGGTGACTCGGGGTTGATCTCTTTGTTGTTTGATATTTTCTTTCTTCTGTTTGGACGAAGGCAATGGGATGATGGATTTTTTTTTGCTAAATTCTCCTTTGCTTTTTCCTTTTTCTTTGTCGTTGGCTGGACATATTGAAGAGGATGTTGGCTAATGATTTGATTTGTTGGCTAATGGCTTGATTTGTTGTTGGCTAATGGCTGGACATAGTGAAGAGGATGGAAGGGAAGATGATTTCTTTTGGTGGAGGCTGCCCACCTTTGTTTCTCTTGAGTTTTTTTTTTTGCGATTCTTTCTTCTTCTTCTTTTTTTATTACCGTCTGTCTTTTTTTTTGTTCATGGAGTTAAGATATATATAGGGGAGAAATATTGTGGTAAAATTTCGGTGTTTATAGTATAATGATAAGGTCAAGCTTCAAGATATATTTTTCTAAAAATTGTATCTTCAAGCATCTAATCCTTTTGAATTATTTTCTTCTTATCCTTTTACGAAATGATCTACTCTTTCATGGTGATAAATTTGCATCCAAATCCCCTTATAATATTTTATTATTTTAATAAAAAAATAGCTTCAACAGTTTTCTGTTCAGAGTACTTCTTTGGCTGCATTGGTGTATTTTGCTCGATCTCCTACTCTAATATATTTTCTTGGGCTTGTACTTGAACCCATTCCTTTTTCCAAATACGTTTTGTTATAAGGAAGCACATGCATCCTCAGGTTGTTGGCAATAACGTGCATCCTCACCTACCTATATTTAATCTATTTGAACGATGATTTTCAATTGGGTTCGCAAGAACATGCATCCTTAGCTTGTTGGCGTATGGCTTTAGTATATTTTATTATGTAGGTTAACTGAGTGTATAGGAATTAGAGTTGTTAATTGAATGTTTGAAATGGAAGCAAAAACAGTAGTACAAGTAATAAAGAATGATGAACGTCATATATATTGTTAGTCTCTATCGTTGAAATTGTTATTATCCATCAGTAGGAACTGATTACTGTGACACGGGTTATACATCCTGCAACCTGGAGGTTTAATTATTTAAGGTGTTTACTATGTGTGGCTCCCTACCAACCAGTAGGTTTCTACCAAATATTCGTGGTTATTCAAAAGGTGGAAAACTGATTATCAGTTTTGTTATAGAGCTACCAGGGTGAAGGTTTGTACAAATAAGTCTGACCCTTTATGTTGGATGAGGAGATATGATTTTGGGCTTGGCATTCTTTTGTATGTGGACCTTATCCAGATCTGCTTTCAATATTTTAGTCTAGCGATTCAGTGAGCCTTCTATACTTATCAGCAATGGTTGTTTTTTTTCTAGCTGACTGCTTTCTGGAAGATCCTATTTTCTGTATATAATTAACTAATGTAATTCTTTTAATATTATTAGTCTAGTGACTCAGTGAGCCTTTATACTGAGCACCGTTGTCTTTTTTTTTATTTCGGGTACTTTCTTTGTCAGGTTGCATGTATGTTTGTATTCTCCTCTTTCTATTTGGTCAGATATAGTCTCTAGCATAAATAAATAAACCTCAGATGTAT